TGTAGAATAAATGTTCTTATAAACATTCTGTATATTACTGTTATTACTTAAATCCAGGTCGAGAGACCGGGGATGTTTTTCTCTTGTCTCTGCCGACCACCGTACCCTGAGTCGTCATGTGACCGGTGCTGACCAATGAGAGCAGAGAGAGAGGACAACAGAAAACAAGCGGACGCTCCGTGTCCCAATAATCTGAGTCTGACTTTGATCTGTCTTTGATCTGGCTTTGATGTGAGTTGACTCCAGGGTCCATGTTTATTGAACCGCTGGTTTATTTCCGGTCTCAGATTATTATTTCCTTCAGTCTCCGGTGGAGTCGCTGCGGTGGTCGCCGCTAGGGGGCGCGACAGCGGGACGTCGTTAACGCTCTGGACGAATGTTTTTATCGTTAGTTCGTCGCTAACTGTGCGTGTGAACGTGCACGATGCAGTGACATGTGAGGACCATGTTTAAGAACGTGTTCGGGTCCGGGTTCGTGGTGAGAACCGCTCATGTGATTCTGACCTGGGTCATAACGTTGATTCTGTTCCTGCACGACACAGGTGAGACACTTCAGGACATGTGTGTCCACATATGGAATTTAAAGAACATTCCTCATCCTACAGATACTCACATGTATAATTACATCAGAGTACAATCTGAGGCAGATACTTTGTAGTAAAACACATTAATCATGATAGTTATTGATATCGACTGATATCAGAATGTGTATCTGATCGTCCAAATACAAACTAATAATCTAATAGGATAAATATTAATGCTCATTCTGTGGAATCTAAACATAACAAACAAGGTTGATTCTGATTGGTCCTCATATCTGACCGGTGGGTCATGTGACTGAAACCCACCTTTAATGAAACCTGGTGTTTCTGTGTGACAGAGCTGAGGAAGCAGGAGGAGACGGGTCAGCTCGTCCAGCCCGTCCTCTTCGTTCTGCTCGTGCTCGTGTCGGTGCTGCTCTACTTCGCCGTCTCTCTGATGGACCCGGGCTTCATCCTGTCAGACGACAGTGATTTACAGGTGAGTCGTGACCACGGTCGAGACGAAGACTCATCAGGAGCGTGAACATCAGATCTGTGATATTTCAAAATGTTTATGATAAAAGCTTGAACAGAAACCGAGTCGTTGCTCCTCTCACCTCTTTGTCTCTTTTGTCTTCAGTTCACGTTGGGAGTGACGGAGGAGCAGCAGGACATGATCCCGCCCACCACCAAGTCCCTGCGACAGCGCCGCTGCGGACACTGTCTGTTGCAGGTACGACGCCTGCCTTGCGCCGCCACCGGCTCAGTTTATTTTAGTTAACATCCTGCAAAACTTTTCTACCCAAGTGTTGAAATGATTCTTGATTTGACGGTAAATGAAACTCCAGGTTCTTTACGGAGCTTTTAACCACATTGTTCAGATGTTTTCAGTGACAGAGGAAGAAGTGATGAAGACTGAAGTGTGGTTGAAAGCTCTGGAAGCAGCAGGATGTTGAGTGACGTCATTGTTCAGCGTTCAGTCAGAAACATGAGTCTTGAACCATCGGTGGTTTAGAATAACTGAGCGGGTCTATAGAATAATAATAATATATCTATAAATACTCACAACTCAAGTTTTAAAAAACCCATTTAAACTATTTGTCTTCTAAACACATCGACCTCCATTTCAAGCAGCAGCCAATGAGATCGAAGCACTGCCAGACGTGTCAGCACTGCGTGCGGCGTTACGACCATCACTGCCCCTGGATCGAGAACTGTGTGGGTGAGAGGAACCACCGCTGGTTTGTGCTGTACTTGGCCGTGCAGCTGCTGGTGCTGCTGTGGGGGCTTCACATCGCCTGGTGAGTACGACTCTGTCCCCTCGTCTCCTCTGTGGTCGTAACGCCTCCACACATCCTATGTCTCCTGCTTGTCCCCCCAGGACGGGGTTCAGCTACGCCCCCATCTGGCAGCTGTGGCTGCGGACCAACGGCATGCTGCTGGCCGTGGCCGTGCTGGTGGCTCTGCTGTCGCTCATCGTCTTGCTCCTGCTCGGCTCGCACCTCTACCTGGTCTCTCTCAACACCACCACCTGGGAGTTCATGTCACGCCACCGCATCTCCTACCTCAAACACTGCGGCGCCGACGAGAACCCGTTTGACCGCGGCACCTTTCACAACCTGTGGGGTTTCTTCTGCGAGTGGGGCACCGTGGTGTGGGAGCAGGTCTACTTCAGGGAGGGCAGCGACCAGGTGTAGGAACAAACGTTACGAACAGACTGAGACGTGACGTCGTGAAGATTAAACTTTCCTTGTGTGCAGTTTACCTTTTATATATCGGCACCTGTGTTTTTGTGCCATAACTCTGCATCGTTCACTCTGCACGTTCCTCCTCTCAGTGCTTTGTGTTGTGCTCCACATGATTCCACAGATCCAGAATATCTTCTCCTCTGATCACGGCTGTGAACAGAATAAAATCAGTCTGGTGTTTCCTCAGTGAGACATCAGCTCCTCGTTAACGTCTCTGCAGACGACATGTTACCAGCAGCCGTTGACAATCATTCAGACTTTTCATTTCTTTATTGCCTGCAGGCACTTTCAGGTTGAGTGTTGACTCGTCCCACTGAACTCTGACTCCTCTGAATCATTGATGTGGAGTTGTCACCGTCACATGGTTAAACCTGACGACTGGACTGTTCAATAATTCTGAACTTTACTCTTGATACCTTATATTTAGCGTCACTAGTTCAGATCAATGGTTTTTATGTTCACTCGATCAAGTTGGACATTTTGTTTTCACGTGTTAACTGACTGAATTATTTATTCTGTACAGAGGATTAACAGCGTCCATGTCTTAAACAGACCAGAGCTGTGTCCACAAACATAAACTGTTCATATTCAGGTTGATCATTTAATTAGTGTTTTATTGTAAAATGTCTTCACGCTCCAACGTTCAGAATCTCTGTCCTCAGACTGTCCATCGCTGCAGCTCCTCTGTTCAGCCTCTGTCTCTTTAAGACCCCCTCCTGTAGTATTGAGGACTGACAAAATGTCTCAGGACAGGAGCTCCCTGTACAACTGACTTTATAACAAGTGAAAAAACACCACTGTTGCTATGGTTACACCTGCGTCCACACTGAACAGCGGTTTTTTTATTTTTTAACTGAAACAGCAGATGCAGCCAAAGTCAGAGAATCTTATTTTTGGAAATGTAAAGGTTGAAGAACTGCACTGTATCATCACTAGTGTTCATCTAACCACTTTGACTTTAAGCTGTTTTAACATCGTATTTATCATTTATTTATTTTCAGGTAGAAAACGTCTTTAGACTTTTGTACGAGTGTTTTGATCGAGAAGTGAAAGTGAAGCAGAAAAGAGTTTGTGCTGTTTGTGTTTGTGTAATGGAAACTTGTGAAAGAGCAATAAGTGTGGTGTTCGTGATGAATTAACTTATTCTATGAATTCATTCATGTACCTCTGGATTATATGCAATACTGTACTAATGTTTTTTACTACTTTGGAAATTACTGTAAACTTGAATAAATCAATGTTTGATGAATTAAATTTATTCATTCATATTTCCTTCATGTAGTTTTACACTTTACAGGCCGGTTTGTTCTGTCATATTATTTTAAAAAGAAAAACACTGAGAAACATTATAAATTAACTATTTCCCAGTATTTTACATCCCAATAAAAAAACATAGGTCAATGAGACGGCAGTAAACGCTGAGTCATGAAATCAGAGTGAGTGAGTGATGGCCACTGACTAAGTAAAGATGGACGACACGTCTCACTTCCTCTGACTGGCCGGCCAAAATATCTCAGAGACAAACGCTGCCATCTTGGGGCGATGATGTCATTTGCAGTCAGTCTGTGCAGAAGTGATCAATGGGTGGAGCTGTGGTGTCGAGGTCCCGCCCATACACGCACTCAACCAATCACAAGTCAGTCTCAGCTGTCAATCGTGATGTTTATGAAGTATTCTACAGCCAGCCACCAGGGGGCGATCCAGATGTTTTGGCCTCAGTGAGGGAGCCGTCACGTCGTCCATCTTTATTCCAGCCTCTGACAGACTGGTTCTGATACAAAAAGGCAGTGTTGTCGTCTCCAGGGGTTTGTCGAAGAGGGCGCCCTCCGGTGGTCATCTCATGAACGAGAAGTCAAAGTCGGCAAAGATCTCTTGTTGCTCGGCGGTGAGGATGCACGGAGTCCGTGGAAGCGTGAGCACCGGCTTGAGGCGAGTGAACTCCTCGTCAAAGTTACTGACGTCCTGCGGCGCCCTGATGACCGGCAGGAACGGCGGCTTCAGCTTCTTGGCCAGGAGAGCGTCCCAGTCCATTCCCTGTTCACATTAAGATCAACACGTTACACATCTACAGACACACAAACATTCTACCGTCATGTACGATTACAATATATTAACTGGTTCAAAATCATAATAATCATTTTAAGTATTAACACTCAACTAACATTCCACCACCTCATGTGCTCTCAGACCTAAACTGTAAATAAAGATGGACGACATGACAGCTCCCAAAAACTGAAGCCCAAGCATCTCAACTGCCCCCTGGTGGCAGGATGCAGTAGGTCATAAACTCCTCTTCCTCGTGCTTTTATTATATTTTTAGCTGCAGAAACGTCTGTTACAGAAAAACAGAAACCTGGAAGAATCTGTGTCTTTTGATTTCCGAGGCGTCTTCTTCTCCTGCTCCGAGTCTCGTCTCAGGATTCTTCTGCAGCAGCTGAAACAGAGAGGAGAACAGGACCCGTGGCCCTCGGGTCATTCAGAACCCTGAGGTCGAATCAAACGTCCACTGAACTCTGCAGACATTTCAGACGCATTTGATCGGAGACCAACCTTCTGAACGAGCGACACCGACTCTGGAGACAGGAAGCGAGGGAATCGCACGTCGTCGTTGACGATGCTGTCGAACACCTCCTCCTCATCATCGCCTGGGAAGGGCGACTGAAGGAGAACAAAGAGAATCACGAACTTAACGCTCATCAACAGAACTTCAGCTCCTGTAGTGAAATGACTGTGTAGCGGTCATGTGACTTCAGGAGTGGACGGAGGTAGTACCGACCTCCCCCACCAGCATCTCGTAGATGAGAACCCCCAGCCCCCACCAGTCCACACTGCGAGTGTAGTTGTTGTCAGTCAGAACCTCTGGAGCCAGAAACTCGGGCGTGCCGCAGAAAGTCGAGGTACGATCCCCGTGTCCCATACCTGCACATGGAGGAGAAAACGTTAACGTCACAAAGGAGAAGCTTTTCCATTTTCCATTATATTAGAAGAATGTCTTTACCTTCTTTGCACAAACCAAAGTCTGCTATCCTGACAAAACCATCAGCATCCATCAGCAGATTATCCAGCTTCAGATCCCTGAGACACAAACAGACACGATGATGATGATGATGATGATGATGATGATGATGATGGAAACACTCAGCTCCGACTGAAAGCTGTCCTGAGGAGTCACCTGTAAACGATGTGGTTCTGATGGAGGAACTCCAGACCGAGCAGCACGCAGGAGGAGTAGAACCTTTACACGAGAACAGACAAACCTTTATTTTACAGAATAAACAAG